AAATTCCAGTTCCAATGACAAATGACTGGAATATGGAACACTGGAATAGAGGTTGGCACTGCACAAAAATTCTTTAACCAGTTAATTTAGTCAAGTGAATTTTTATCAATCATTTGTTACTTACAAAATAATCACACGCATGTTGAATTTTATTATTATGCACTTCATAGATACTAAATGATTATGATAGGAACTTAGTTGACATTTAATCTAAAGTTTTATTTAGTCAAAATCAACCTTACAATAAAGATTAGAATTATTTTTTTAAATATATATTTTTTTTTCTACCTTTCTTGGTTCCAAGTTTCAGGTGATGAATTAATGTACTCTATGAATTTTTTTTAAAATTTTATGAATTTTATAATGATGAATATGGAGCTCTGTGAATGAAGCCACAAGGCAAAGATTATTGTACAAATTGATCATGTGGCTTTGTCATATGGTTATGGAACAAAAAAACAAGAATTGTCATTATTATTAGGAAAAAAGATTGTAGCAGTAGTAGTAAGCATTTATATTTATTCCATTATATTAACATGAACAAATAATAATAATATAAAAAATTTTAGATGCATGAAAGAGAGAATTCAAACAGCAATATATAGGTTAATGTCACTGATTAAATTTGGGAAAGTGTATTTTAATTGGTGATAACAATTATTTTTGTTTTTGCATGGATCAGAATGATTTTGTTATTAGTGAATAATAAAATATTTCTATTTTATTTATTTAGTTTTCTTAGTCGAAACTAATTAACTTGTTATCAAGTTATTTTACAAGCAAGTCGAATTTGAGCTTCTTTTATACAATTAAATTAATTAGTAACAACTTTGTTGCAATCTGACATTCTAGCCACTTTAATTGTGATGTAACATTCTGACCGTGATGCCAATTTCTAAATAAAGCTAACTAATTTCAATATTATACAAATAAAAATAAAAATGTAATACAAATAAAATAATGAAAATGTAAATAAATATGAATAAAAATAAAATAAGAAATAAAATATAAGGAATAAATAAATGTAGATATAAAAATAAAGTAAATAAAATAAAAATAGAAATAAAAGATTTGGTTCAGAATTAGGGTATTTCGACTAACAAATTAGTGTTAAATCCTAATTCTGGTAACAATATTGATACTTTGAGTGATCATTTAATGTTATTATTAAATGGACCAGAAATAGAAGAATTTGATTTTGAAAAAGCATGTAAGCATTGGGAAAACAAAAAAATCAGAAGGAGCAACCATGAATGTCAAAGAAAATTATTACAGTACCTGGAAGAAAGTATCGGTCAAATGATATGTCACAGGAAGTGTAATTACATATATAAAATAGAAAATTCGTCTTGTGTAACAAACCAGTTTTTTAAAATATCTCATTATTTTCATAACAAATTCAAACATCAATATTAATTAAAAATAAAACTATGACATTATAGCTTTCTAACTAGCTCTCTCCCATATTGATAGAGGCTCTCTATGTCAAGCTATGTTTATTCAAAAGCAGCATTACTTTTTATTTCAAAGCTAAGATTTTTTACCAATATTACTTGGGAGTGGTTGAAAAGATGTAAATTATTGTAAGTTTTCATATAGGTATAGCTTTATGTGGATTTTTGTTTATTAAAGTTTAGTGAAAATGGCAAAAAACTCCAAAAAACATATTAAATTTTGATAAATTTATTTATCAATACACAAAAAGGAAAAAATGTGGGCAGGAGATTATCAAGAGTAATGACCAGAAATAGATAATTAATTTCCAAATGCGGTAATTCGGTTGATAAACTTTAATACCAAGATTTTTTCTATTTTATTAATAGCCTCTCCTAATTTTTTTCCAAAAGAAGGAATAAGTCTTGAAAAATCTGTGTCTCAAATTTGGTGGAGATTGGTGAGCAAAAAAGGGTTATAATTAAGGTTGATCGCCAAAAAATTTCGGAAAATACACTTCCCAATCATTTAATGTGACACATTGTTTGACTAGTATGCAATTTTTGAAAGCTTTGCGAAATATTAAAATATTACATATTAACTTTATATGAAATTTCCATTATTCAGTAGCTTATGTTCTTACAATTGTGCATATAATAATGTTTTTTGTAAAATTTTTAAAAGTTACAGTATTATCTAGATATTACAAAAAAACATTATTATATGCACAATTGTAAGAACCTAAGCTACATAATGTCATTTTTTTATTATGTAATATTTTGCTGTATATTTTATAAAATAAAATTTTTTCCGATTATGGAATGTGCACATGTAGATCGTGTCACCATTGAACACACTGTATGTGATATTCTATTATGAACAATTTCCAGGACTTTTCAACTACCTTGACTTTTATTAATATTAATCTTAATATTTTATCAAAAAGTCAAAACTATTTTCAACCATTTTGACCATCCAAATAATGCTGTGGGCGAAATCCAATTTTTAGTTCTGAAATATTTCAGATTTATTTCCAAAATGGTGGAATATCTGATTTATCAGTGTGTCATAAATGTTATTAAATGAAATAACCAATAAAAAAGGTTGTAAACTCTCGTCATATTGTTAAACTTGTATAAAATTAGTTTGTTTAAGCAGAAACAAGTTTTAAGTTTTGACTTTCATTTCTCCAAAATAGTTTTGTTGCTAACTTTATTTACACAGTGAGTCTCAGTATAATGGATATTTAACTAGTACAAAATTAGAAATTATCTGCAAAAAATTGAATTTGATTGGATATTATTGCAGATAGTTCTAAATTTGTACTAGTTAAATATCCGTTATACCAAGACTAGGGATGGGAAATTGCATGAAATTTTGAAATTTCATGTGCATGATGCACATTGTGCGCATTTCATGCAGTGTTTTTTTTTAAAAAGAAAAATTACTATATACTTTTAAGATTTTTTAATGCATTATTTATTCATTATTAAAAATATATTATGTTTATAGATAATTCATTTTCATCATCACTGCCAATATCACTATTATCAGCATTATCATCACTATCATCAACAGTATCATCACTATCATCAATATTTTCACCTACATTTGTAACTTTACTTATCTTTGGGGCTTTCAATTTATTAATATATATAAACTAACTTAAAAACATGATCATATTTGTCAATTTATTTCATTTTTTGTATATAAGAAAATGTAGACCAATTCCTTTCTACTGCAGCTAATGAGGTAGGAATAGAAAGAACTCTTACCGCAACTTTTGCCAATTCAGGTGCCACAGCTCCAAAATTATTTTTCCACCAGGTTAATAATCCACATTATTCCCATGAGTTGCCAAATATACCACTATGAGCTTTATATTGTAAAATTTAATTTCTGCATTTTCTGTATGTGACATTGCATGATTTGAAAAAAAAATCACGTGCATGATGTGCATGATGCAATGCACATATGCACATGGAACATCTCTAACTGAGACTCACTGTGTACTACTTATTGTTTATGCAATGGTGATGTATATTTATTACACAACTAACAGCCAATAAGAGAGCTTCTTTATCACAGAACTGTGATTTTAGCCAATCACTGAAGGTGAAATTAATTTCGCCTTTGGCATTTTGGAAATTTATCAGATTTCAGTCATTGGGTGGAATTAATTTTGCCTAATTCTGGAATGGGTGATTGGTGAATGTACTAATTTCGCCCACAGCATTACATTCAAAAAGTCAAAATGGGTTTCACTGACTTCATGTATATTCCCTACATAGCACAGGCTCCATGTCATCAAATTATATTAGAAGTATATGAAATTTTCAGTGAGTCTTGATTACTTGAGTTTCAGTATTTGTTACTTTATGAAATAAAAGATTTTGTAGCAATATTATTTTAATATAAATTTCTTGTACAGATACAAAATATAATTAGCAAAACCAGGATATATATATTTAAGATAACATAAAATCTCTTCTAACTTCACTGTTATAAAAAATAAATTTATCAAATAAAAGCCTTAAAATCATTTTCCTGCCTTTTAATTCTTGATCATTTAATATTATCTTTGGACCAAAAGAAATTTTGGATAACAAACTATTAAGAGATTCAACATTTTGTATTGTTGCAGAAAGAATTTTAATTGCTATTGATGTGAAATCTATTGCTTCTTGGTATTCTTTGTAAATCTTGTTTGACCAAATATTTGTTAAAATGCCCAATGATATTAAAATTGATCCCTTATAATTGTGTAATTATGTTAAAACAGTTGTAATATTAGTAAAGCAAAATTAGTAGTAATAATAGTAATATACAATACCTTTGATGGATTTAATGGTAGTATTGATTTTTTCTTATAATATATAATTGGTAATATTATAGTTGGGGCACTAATAAATATTAAATTATTTTAATAAAATGAAAGTAATATTATTATTTTTAAAAAATAAATAAATTAAAAATTACATTGAACCATAATAACAAATTTTTGATGTTATTAATAGTGACTTCCGTTTAAAAGATTCATCTTCCAATTTTTTAATAGCCAAAATAGTTTCTTGATGCAATTGTTTTACAATCACATGAAGTTTTTCAAATGTTTCTATAAAGTTTTTCAAAATATAAGAGGTAATTAATTGATTACTTTGAAGAATAATCCTCCTTCTTTTACTACCTATTATTCTTATTATTTATTAGTTGATTTCTAATTTAAAACTTACTATCATCTTCGTAGAAATTTATCTGAAGTAAATCAGTTTCATTTTTATTTGCACCTTGATGAATTTTCTTTTTCACCTCTATAATTTCTGGATTTTTTATCAAAGGCACCCAAGAAGGTAACCGAAAAGTTCCATATAATTCATTGAGATGTGTCAAATTTCTTATGACTGAAAACATACTAATTAAAAAATTAAAAAATGGCTCATGTCTTTCCTAAATGAACGCATAATAAACTTTTTATTAATTACTTTTTTAAAATATTTTAAAAAACATTAATATTAAATCAATTACATGTATGATAGTATAAAAAAATAAACAAACCATTATATTTTGATTTATTTTTCTATCTACAATCAAGGAATTCAGAACTTCAATAAACAATCTTCCTAATTCGCTGTCACATTCATGTTCAATCTTGATCTCAACCACTGTCATTGAAGTATCATTAACTTCTCGATTGATTGTAGTGATAGTACCAGGAAATAACTTTTCTAATGCTGAAATTGTAGAATCTGAAATCAGTTCATTTAAAACCTGATCTAATAATTTAAGAGCTATCATATCACCGAAACATCTCAGATTAGACGCTGCAACTGCTTGACTCTTATTAACTTTGAAAGATCTTTCAATAAATGTATATGACAATATGTCTAATGGGATCCAATCTGCAAATCCATTTTCACTTAGATCTCTAATTGTTTGTGAATTACGAAGTTTTTCAATTGCATCTCTGTGACGATGACTGTTTAAATTAATTTTCACCTATTTAAGAAAGTAATTTTGTAAATTTATGATAATATAATGGATTCTTTGTTAAGAAACTCTATGATTGTGTCACTGTTGCATAAAATTTCATTACAAAATCTATTTTTGCTAATTTTTTTTACCAAGCATATCATAAATTAAATTCAAACCTTTATTGTATTATGTGTTTCGTCCTCTATTGCAACATATGACCTTTCCATTACTAGTAGATTATCATCAAGAATATTTATCGTCACCGACCCAATTGCTTCAATGATTGCATGTTCTATTTCTCCTGGAGATTTCTAATATCAAAAAGAAAAATTATTTCCTAACAAAGAAAAAAAAATAAAACTTTTCTTATAATAAATTTTTACCGTCAAGTTATAAATTTGGAATAAAGCATATTGAGCTTCGCTATCTTTTAAGGACTCATTACCCTCAATGTAATGAAACAATCCATTGTAATAAATGATTGGTTTTTTATTTGCAGGAGGTTTACGACCAGACATTATTTAATATTAAAAAAATTTGAAAAATTAAAAATAATCAATTCAATTTATTATATATAGGCACAAACATTTTATTTAGCCAATCAACGGTTTTTTGTTCCTACTATTACCTCATCCTCCTCATTTTGAAAACAACAAAACGTCATGATGAAATAACAAGATTTTAATAGGTTGCAGCGAGTTCGTGTAAATCATCACATTACACAAGCATCAGCGTGGAATTTTTTCAGAAAATTTAATACGTCACGACTAATTATATCCAATTTTTTACAACGTTGTTAGTTTTTGCGACCCATCAATGCTTACAGCCTCCAATCTTTTATACTATTCCAAAACCGCTATCATTGGTGAAATCTGTTATTGCTGACATTACCAACATCATCATGACTTGGAGAATTTGAAAGGCTTTGATTGATTTCATTACGATGTATGTATGAATTCAAAAAGGAATAGTTGTTTTAAATTTTTTAGAGGTGTTAGAACTTTCGACATCTTCTGGGTGTAATTTAAGGTGGGATCTTCAAATTAATTTTTTTTAAATTCAAAAAAAAGAAAAAGAAAAAGAAAAAGAGGGAATCTATTTTCTTAAATAGTTTTTTTCACTATTCAGCATTGCACGAACAACTGATGATTTGATTATATTGTTCTTGGGACAACAATAATATCAAATGTGGAATGAATTTACTTTCATTTATATTAATATGATTTCAGTTTTTTCAAAAAAGGGTTTAATTGGTAAGTTGCAGTTTTTATGTTTATCTATCTTTCATCTAAATCAAAGATTGCATCATCATTATATAATTTATTTCATTAATTCAAAAAATACATGTATAACATGAAATATAATGATAAGTATAAAATAAATAAATAAGTTTTAATTGTCCATCATTCATCTTGGATTTTTTGAACATCTTTGCTCATGTCATTATAAGCTCATTCTTTATTTAACCTTAGCATTAGGAGTATCTGTGACAGTTGAAGCAGTAGAAGAGCTGGTGGAAATATGAACAGTTGTCAAGCAAGTTGAAAAGGTCAAAGAGGTTGAAGAGAAGGCTGAAGAAGTGACATGCTTCCTTTTCTTATTCATCACTATAATTTTTATTGTTGCTTTTGTTTGTCTTGGGCTCACTTGGAATCAAGTTCCATTCTATTTCCTTCTCTACCAAGTGTTGCTTGTTTGTCTTGCTGATTCTCAACTTTCCAAGAACCAAAATTATCAACCTGCCTAGATTGTTTTTGATCAACCTATATTTCCTGTACTTGTCCACATACATCATATAAACTTCAGAGTTGATGCTTTTGTTCTTCTACATCAGGTTGTATAGCTTTCTGTTTAAAACAAAATTCCCACCTGCCTCATTCTCAACAAAAAATTCATCGTTTGTGACCCTGTGAAAAACATTAACGGATATTGGTGGGAAAGTCTTCCTTGCCTTCACCATTTTCATCAACCTAATCATTTGGTTTGGAGTCACCTACACATATGTATAATTAAGAAAAGTCAAAATTTCAGGTCAAGAAGGTATAGTAATAGGGAAAAACTATTTGACTCCCCCTTCTATGACATATCTCCTGATCAGGACAGCCACCAAGTGCTTGGAAAAATTTAACACATTGTTCACCTTGTTATAATATCTTTTGAAGTTAACCTTTCTAAAAACATTGTCATTTCTATAAAGTGCAGCTCTGCTGATTGTTCCCTCAGTGGAAGTCACTATACATGAAGTTGAAACTAAGGTTTCTGGCCAAAACTCTTCTATTAGTAGCCAAAATTGCCCAAATACTTTGAGCAAAAATTATTTTTTTATAAGCCCAAACTACTTTTTGTTATTAGCCAAAATTGGGTGAAATTATTTTAAAGTTGTTTAAGTTAAAAACAAGTTGATTCATATAGTTTTTTAATGTTCATGCTTATAAAAAATGTTGAGAAGCCCAAATTTGCCAAACTAGTTTGGGCTTTGAGAAAACAGTTTGGACCAGAAACCTTAGTTGAAACTATTTCAACCATTTGTAGATCTAGTCAAAATAGGGTCAAAACTGATTTTTACTATATATGTAGTTGCCTCAAGTAGAAACATTTCAACTTCATGTATAAAAGTCACATGTCTAATAAAACAATTGGTAACAAAATAGAACACATTTTTTTATTTATTATTTTTAATTTAGCATCACTTTACTGCTATTTTTTATATTAATGAGCATTTCCTTCTCTGCTTCAAAAAGGCATGGTTGTTTTCAATGTTATTAAGAATAATGAATCAAAATTTTGAATTGTTGCTTTTTTTTTTTTTTCTTCACAATAAGCAACAGGAGAAACTTTTCAAAGAAAGCTTTGTCAATTCCTTCAACAATAACATTTTTTTCACAAAAAAAGGACAGTTCAATATTAATTAAAAACTAGAATGATGACAAGTAGTGATAGCCACCACCACCATTCTTATGATAAACACTTACTTGTATCTTTTCTTCCAGTTTCTCTTTTCTTTTTCTTTGGATTCTATTGATTATTTATTATTTAGAAAAAGAATTGTTATTTGACTGACAAACGCGTATATATTCATATGACAAGCTCACAGATCTCTTACAAATTTGGATTTATTATATATTAGCAAGATCTGCATTAAAATTTTTGGCAAGTGGCACAGTACGTGATGTCTTTAGATGATTTGCACTATATCATTGCTATTTTGGGATTTGAAGGTGATGCAAGAATTTGATATCTTTAGATGGCATGTACTATAATTTGAAAACAAAATAACACATTAAATTAATTAATATATGGTAATAGATCAACATCAATCATAGGTTCCTGAGGTTTATTGCATTGAATTGTGCAATGAAATAAATTAAACAAATTTTTTAAAAATAATTTCTTTACATGATGATTCAATTCAATTTGATTTGAACTGATTTGAATATTAAATATATATAATTTGATTTGAACTGATTTGATTCATTTTGATTTGAGCTGATTTGAATATATAATTTGATTCAACTCAACTCAATTTGAATTAATGATGGTTGCTGAAACTACACTTAGTGGGCCAAATTGCTGAAATTAATTGGCCTAAACTTTGACAAAACTAATTTTAATGGCTGAAATTGGGAGTTTTTAAAATAAAGTAGATTGATTTAGATACTTATTGGACAAAACTACTTTTTTTCAAAAACAATTATCAGCTACCATCACTAAATAATATCCTTTAACATTTAAAAAATTTAAAATATGCACAATCTTGGTTTAGCAGATAGTTTGAGTTTAGAAAATTTTTTTCCAAAAATCCATTATTATTATATTCAAACCTTGTCATTAATTCTTATCATAATGGATTTTTAAAATTTTGCTTCTCATATAAAAACATATAAAATTTTTCTTATCATTGTGTCCCATCTATCCATTGTGACTATATCAAGGAATCCATTATATTGAGAAGAATTATATTGTTATTATTATTAAACCTCAATCTGTTATCAATTAAATTGAGATGCACTACATTGAGATTCACTGTATTTAATATGACATTAAGAAAAATTTAGGAATCTGGTTTGATTTGAATTGATTTGAATTGATTTGAATTGAGTCATGAATCAAATCAAATTGCTCTAAAATTCGATTTGATTTGATTTGTCCTTAAAGAGAATAAATTGAAAAACAGCTGGATTCTTGCCATTCCAAATTACCATAATGGCATCACAAGATAGACACATATAGTTATGACCTGGTTGTGAACAAGGGAACTAATTTTGAAAATATTTACTTTTACAGACAGTAATGCAATTGGAAATTGGGCTAAGAATATTGAGGTCAACTTAGCATGGTATGAGATAATTATAAATGTGTTCTGGATTCTTTAGCATCAGATTAATCCATTATCCTTCCCTAAAGGACTAGAAACCAAACTGGGATTATGAATGTCTGCACACAATCATCAGAGTTAATAATATGATAATAACATAATCCATAGGAAAGTCAATATTGAAAATATAAAATGGCATTAAGGTGAATAATATTTTTTAGCTTTTAAATAATGATTATTATTTTATGGATAGAAATATATACTTGGTAATATTGTTTGATAACAATTTCATGTTGCAACTAACTTATACAGGCTCTGTGTAACATATTGGCCACAGACAACAGTGTCCACTATGCTGACTCTAGTAACAGTAGGGATTTTGACCAGTTAACTTTTCACTTTTCTATATTAATATTAATGTGTCTTTTGCCTGGGACCTCCTCAATTAGAAGTTTCCGGGTAGAAATAAAATATTAAAAAAATAGATTCAAAAAATCAATAATAATCTCTTTAATTTTAACGAATTCAACTATAGATTATATAATATTATTTATTTATAAACATGGCAAATGAAATTCTTCCTATAATACTACAAGAGCATTGTCAGGTAAGTTATATTTAATAATGTGTGGCTATAGGAAGAAAAAAAGATTTTAAATTTGGTAATAAATAAATATATTTATATATTAGCTTCTAGAACTTGGTGTTAATCCAACTAATATATCATTCAATTGGTTAACTATGGAATCCGATCGTTTTATTACTGTACGTGAATCAAATGGGCAACAAAACCACGTTGTGATTATTGATCTAAATGATACTCAAAATGTTTTGAGGCGACCGATTGCTGCCGATTCTACTATAATGCATCCTAAAACAAAAATTCTTGCACTGAAAGGTTTGCAATTGATTAATTTATTGATTGAAAACAATAAATATAATAAATCGGTTAATTTATATTTGGTAAATTTTTAAAAAATTTTTTTAATAGCTCAACGGTCATTACAAATATTTAACCTTGATGCAAAAGCCAAAATCAAATCTCATGCAATGAATGAAGATGTTGTCTTTTGGAAATGGGTTAACGACAAAGCAATTGGACTTGTCACTCAGACATCTGTTTACCATTGGTCATTAGAGGGTGAATCAAATCCAGTTAAAATTTTTGATCGACACGCTAATCTTAATGATACACAAATCATTAATTACCGTGTAAATTCAGATCAAAAATGGATGGCTTTAACGGGAATAAAAGCTGTTGTTAGTATTATATTATATTATTCATTATTTAGGAGCAATACATGATTTTTTTAATCAATTCACAATCAATTATATCACAGGAAGGAAATGTTGTTGGTTATATTCAATTATATTCTAAAGATCGTCAGGTCAGTCAGTCTTTTGAAGGTCATGCAGCTGCATTTGCAACTATAAAATTGCCATATGGCAAATCACCTACAAGTCTGTTTACCTTTTCTGTTCGTAATTCTCAAGGAGCAAAGGTAATCAAATCAAAAACATATACATGTTATGCTTTTTTATTGTAAAATATTTTATTTCTAATGCCTAATCTATATTTTTTCAATAGTTACATATTGCAGAAATTGATCACAAAGATGAAAATCCTCCATTTCAAAGAAAATCTGTTGATATTTATTTTCCAGCTGAGGCTGACAAAGATTTTCCTGTCTCTATGCAAATTAGTAAAAAACATGGTATTATATTTTTAGTTACAAAATTAGGCTATATTCACCTTTATGATTTGGAGACTGGTACCCGTTTTTTCATGAATAGAATAAGTGCTGAAACTATTTTTGTCACTGCGGAGCATGAAGCAACTAGTGGTATTATTGGCGTTAATAGAAAAGGACAAGTACGTTTGTATTCTTAAAAACCTTGTTATCTCTAATCTGGTTTATTAAAATTTAAAACCTAAATCCCAAAATTATAAATTTAGGTTTTATCTGTGTCTATTGATGAAACAAAAATCATTCCTTATATTAAGGATTTGTATCAGGATAATCCTGATTTTGCTATCAATATAGCAACAAGATCTAATTTGGGAGGCGCTGAAGATATAATTTTACGAAAGTTTACTGGCCTATATTCATCAGGGAATTATACCGAAGCTGCAATACTTGCTGCTAATTCACCACTTGTAAGCTCACATTTTTAAATTATTTAATTATTTATTTTACAATTATTATCACAATAATAATTATTTTAAAATTTATTTTTAGGGGTTTCTTCGTACACAGAGAACAATAGATCTTTTAAAAGCTATTGTTAATGTTGCTCCTGGTGAACCGTTACCATTTGAACAGTACTTCACTATTCTGTTAGAGAAAGGCAATCTTAACCAGCAAGAATCATTGGAACTAGCGCGACTTGTTATGACACAAAATAAAAGAGAACTATTAGAAAAATGGTTGAGAGAAGATAAGGTATAATAATAACTGTTATTTTATGATTCATTAACATTATTATTATTATTATTATTACTATTATTATTATTATCATAATATATGTATTCTTAATCATTATTAATTTATTTACTATTTGTAGATTCATTGTAGTGAAGAACTTGGTGATTATGTGCGACCATTTGATATAACACTAGCTTTATCTATATATCTTCGTGCCAATGCTCCTATTAAGGTAAACTGTACATATTATGTTTAAAATTATATACATATAACTTACATATTTTTATTTTCTACATTAGGTCATTGAATGTTTTGTTGAAAAAGGCGAATTTTCCAAAATAACTGTTTATGCAAAAAAAGTCGGATTCCAGCCAGATTATTCTTCTCTCCTTCAAAAAATCATGAGAGTTAATCCTGATAAAGGTGCAGAATTTGCTACTGCTTTAGCAAATGATGAAAATGGACCTTTGGTTGACATTGAAAAAGTGTGTTAATAATATTCATTCGTTCATTAGTTCCGATTATTTATTAATAATTTATATAAATTAATGAATGATATTTAGATTGTAGATGTATTTATGTCGCAAAACATGATTCAACAATCAACATCATTCCTTCTTGATGCTTTAAAAGATAACAAACCAGAACATGGACATCTTCAAACTCGTTTACTTGAAATGAATTTATTGCATGCTCCTCAAGTAGCAGATGCAATTCTTAGCAATAATATGTTTACTCATTATGATAAACCTACTATTGCACATTTATGTGAAAAAGCTGGATTATTTCAAAGAGTACGTGATTTATTATGTTACTGCTATTTATTAATTTATTATCACTGTATTACTTGGTTAATATTGTTGTTACTATTATTGTTACTATTTTTACTAATTACCATCATCATCATCTAATATTAATATTTATTATTTATTATTATTGCAAAAATAAATTATATCTTATTTGTACCTTTATAATATATTAGGCTTTAGAACATTACGATGATTCCAATGATATTAAACGTATAGTTGTACACGCTCATGCTTTATCCCCTGATGTAAGTTTAATTTCTTAATTATTTATAACTTTTTTCTGCCTTTTTCCTTTATTGATTTATAAATTTTTTTAAAAGTTTGTTGTCCAATATTTTGGAAATCTTTCGGTTGATAATTCACTTGATTGTTTAAAAGAAATGCTCAAAGTTAATATTAGACAGAATTTACAAGTAGTAATACAAATCGCTACAAAATATTCAGAGCAATTACAACCATTAAATCTAGTTCAATTATTTGAATCTTTTAAATCATACGAAGGTGCTGTTTATTTTTATTTAAAAAAAAAAATCATATTTTTATCAAAATATATATTGATAACAATTTTTTATTTTATTAGGTCTGTATTATTATCTTGGCTCAATTGTTAACCTCAGCACTGACCCCGATGTGCATTTCAAATACATCCAGGCAGCTGTTAAAATAGGACAAACTAAAGAAGTTGAAAGAATATGTCGTGAAAGCCAATATTATGATCCTGAAAAAGTTAAAAACTTTTTAAAAGTAAGTTTTATTCTCTTGAGATCTTGAGATATTTTATCTTACTTCTAAATATACATATGTATATACATACTCTCACATATGCTTATATTTGCCAATGAAATTTGTGTAGGAAGCAAAACTTCAAGATCAGCTTCCATTAATTATTGTTTGTGACCGGTTTGATTTTGTACATGATTTAGTTTTATATTTGTATCAGCAAAATTTAACTAAATACATTGAAGTATATGTTCAGAAAGTTAATTCTGCTCGTACCCCAGCTGTTATTGGTGCTTTATTGGATGTTGATTGTGATGAAAATATCATTAAAAACTTATTGATGTCAGTTACTGGATCTGTTCCCGTTGATCAACTTGTTCAAGAAGTTGAAAAAAGAAACCGTCTTAAATTAATATTACCGTGGTTGCAATTGCGTGCTAGCGAAGGAAATCAAGATCCCGAACTATACAATGCTTTGGCTAAAATTCGTATAGATAGTAATACTGACCCAGAAACTTTTCTTAGGGAGAATACAGTATGCATATTTAATTATTTATATTATAAATTTTTGGTACATTATGCGTTTTATAATATTAACTTTTTTTATTTAGTATTACGATTCCATGACTGTAGGAAAATATTGTGAAAAACGGGATCCTCATCTTGCCTTTATTGCTTATCAACGTGGACAATGTGATCTTGAACTTGTAAAGATAACAAACGAAAATGCTATGTTTAAACATCAAGCTCGCTATTTGGTAAAACGTCGTGATCCTCAACTTTGGGCACATGTGTTAAAAAAGGATAACATGTATCATAAGAGTTTAATTGAACAGGTATCATTATTATTATAAAGTTTTTTTAAAAAAATAAAAATAGTGTTTCACAATAGGATTTTAATAGTTATTTCATAGAGATATAGTATTTAATAATTAATATACGTGTGTGTGTATTGGGGATAGGTTAATGCTATAGCTTTACCAGAAACTACAGATCCAGAAGATGTTTCTGTCACAGTGAAAGCTTTTATGGCAGCAGATTTACCATTGGAACTTATTGGATTATTAGAAAAACTTATTTTCGAAAATACAGCGTTTAGTGATCAGAAAACACTTCAAAATTTACTTATTCTTACAGCTATCAGGGTAATTAATATTTATGCGATTTACTTTATAACCCAATATATATATATATTAACAACATACCTAAATCTATTGTTTAATTTTTTTTACAACATATAAAGGCAGACAAAGCTAAAGTAATGGACTTTATAAATAAACTCAATAATTTTGATGCACCTGAAGTTGCGGATATTGCTATAAAAACTAATTTATATGAAGAGGCATTTGCAATTTACAAGAAATACAATGAACATACAAGTGCTATAAATGTTTTAGTTGAACATATTGCTAGTCTTGATCGTGCAGCAGAATTTGCTGAAAAATGTAATATCCCTGAAGTTTGGAGTCGATTGGCTAAAGCACAAATCACTGGTTTAAGAATTAAAGATTCGATTGGTATGTGTCTTTCCTGACAAATTGTTAATTTGCGAAAAATAAAATAAAAAATAATTATATTAAATTTCTAAGCTTTTTTTCCTAATAAAAAAATTAGACTCATATATTCGTGCCGATGATCCTAGTAATTTTTCAGAAGTTATCAGTATATCATCACGAGCTGAAAAATATGAAGATCTTGTACGATACTTGCAAATGTGTCGTAAAAAGCTACGTGAACCTTTGGTTGATAATGAGCTTCTTTTTGCGTATGCCAAGACTGAAAAATTCCATGACCTTGAGGAATTTTTGAATAGGCCAAATGTTGCGCAAATTCAAATTGTTGGTGAACGTTGTTATGAAGATGGTCTTTATGAATCTGCTAAAATTTTATTCCAGAGTATTTCAAATTGGGCAAGGTTAGCTTCTACGCTCGTTCATTTGGGTGAATATCAAGCAGCTGTTGATGGTGCTAGAAAAGCCAGTAATACTAAGTAATTATTGATTCTATTGACTAACTTGCTTGTTTTTATGATTTAAATCTGATTGATTAATTATTATCTATCTATTAATGAAAAAATAATAATAGGGTTTGGAAAGATGTACATAATGCTTGTGTTCAACATAAAGAGTTTCGTTTAGCACATATTTGTGGTCTTAACCTTATTGTTCATGCCGAAGAGTTACAAGTAAGTTGTATATATGAAAATTTTGTAAATTCTGTTATTTTGATGGATTATTAATAATGATAATGTCATTGTGCTGTTATTGTCGTTTAGAATGTGACTAGGTTGTATGAAAATAATGGTTATATAGATGAATTATTATCACTTTTAGAAGCAGGGTCTGGCCTTGAAAGAGCACATATGGGAATGTTTACTGAATTATCCATTTTGTATACTAAATATCGACCTGATAAAACATATGAACATTTACGAATTTTCTGGTCACGACTTAATATCCCTAAAGTGATTCGTGCTTGTGATGAGGCTCATCAATGGAAAGAATTGGTTTTTTTATATGAACATTATGATGAATTTGATAACGCTGCCCTTGCAATGATTCAACACGCAGCTGATGCTTGGGAACATTCACGATTCAAAGATATATTAGTTAAAGTTAGCAACGTTGAAATTTATTATAAGGTATTAGTCTCAAATTTCAAATTAAATTTGTATATATTCATACTACATATAATTTGATATATTTATTAACAATTCACTTTTTTTTTCCAAGGCTTTAAAATTTTATCTGGATGAACACCCTCTTTTACTTAATGATCTTCTTGGTGCATTAACTCCAAGAATTGATCACACAAGAGTTGTGCAAATGTTCCAAAAATCTGACAACATTCCATTGATAAGATCATACCTAATATCAGTACAAGAAGTATGTATATATATGCCATATTTATTCGCAACGTTATTTGTTAATAAACCATTTACCTTTTCTTCTTCCTTTCCACTCTAGACAAACAATGAAGCAGTTAATAATGCATATAATGATATATTGATTGAAGAGGAGGACTATAAAGCATTGAGAGATTCAATTGATAGTTTTAATAATTTTGATAATATCAAATTAGCGCAACGACTTGAAAAACATAACCTTCTTGAATTCCGTAGAATCGCAGCACATCTTTACAAAAAAAATAAACGTTGGCCGCAATCAATTGCATTGTCTAAGGAGGATCGACTTTTCAAAGATGCCATTGAAACAACCAGTGAATCACGTTCAACTGATGTAGTAGAAGAACTTTTAGAATACTTTGTTCAAATAGGGAACAAAGAATGCTTCACTGCGTGTTTATTTGTTTGTTATGATTTTGTTAGACCAGACATTGTGCTGGAGTTGGCATGGAGACATGGCCTTAATGACTTTGCCATGCCATATTTGATTCAAACTTTACGTGACTTCACTCTTAAGGTTAATATATATTTTATGGTAGTTAAATCTTTGATTAAATAGTATACTTAAACGCCATTCGCTGTTTTAGGTTGATTCGTTAGAAAAAGCAAATGCTGAAAGATCAGCAAAAGAAGAACAAGAAAAATCTGAGAATGGTAATTATAAAATCTAACAATAATTGGTTTGGTTTACAAAAGAATATTGTTATTAATTGATTATTATTATTAGAAACGCCAATTATATCTGTTGGTTTAGGAAATCAACGTTTACTTACTCAAGGCTCAGCGCAAGGGTAAGTGTTGATCATTATCACTTTGTTAACTATTACATATTTATAATATTTGTATTTATAAAAAGAATTTTTTTTTAGTGTTGTTCCCCAAGGTTTTGGCTCATCATACAATGGTATGAATAATATGTCTCCTTATCCAAATGGTGGCTTTTAAAATCTTTCATTACTTTATATTTAATAGTAAATTTTTTGCAATCCTGTATTTCTAAAAAAATATCTAATATTGAGGGATGTAATGTATTTTTTTATTTATATATGTGTTTACATTAGAGCATGTAAAAATATTATAGAAATATTATAATAAAAATAATTATTATAATACAAATATTGGTGTTGGCGATCGACATTTAGCTTATATATAATCACAAGTTCTCATAATGTTGATCATTGTGTCAAATCATGCATGTATATATAAAAAAATAAATTTGAATCCATCAAAATAATTCACTTGGAAAAGAAAAATGTTGGTTAGTATTGATTTGTCTAAACTGATTTATTTAATATATTTTATCTGACTATATACTCTTTTATTTATTAGACTAAATTATGTAACCTATTGAAAAGCATAATTTCCATTTCATTTTTTTATTTTGTTGGAATTTTGTCCAAATGGATTAAGGTAACATATATATATTGAATTATATTCAATAATCTATATAATTAATATAACTTGTAATTTATTATTGGGGTAAAATAAGTATATGAGACATGAGAAAACACCAGAAGAAAAATTAAGAGATGAATTGTATCAATCAAAAACTTATCAAGAATGGGTGGGAAAAGTCAAAGAATTAGATATGTGAGTTTTTTTCGAATTAAAATGACTTATTAAAAAAAAAGGATTAAATATTTATCTTAATTTACCTTTTTTTTTGTTTAGATTACTAAGTATGTCATCAATATTATTTTAATGTGTTTTTTTAAAAAAAATTTAGATTTTGAAATTTTAATGATCTTTTAATTTTTAATTATTTCAATTAGAGAACGATGAATGGAAAAAAGATCGAGTATCGCCATATTATGATTATAACTTGATACAAGTTAGATTGGATCATCTTAGGGAGAGTAATGATGTGCTTCAAATGATCTATATATTACGATCAGGTAATTGTTAATATTTCATAAATAAGTGGAATAGTACATTGTAAATAATTTAACACGTTTGTCTTTTAAGGCCTTTTACGCAATTTGGGTGGATTAAATGACCCAAAATTATTTAGTCAATCATATTTGGGGTAATAAAAATTATTATTATAAAGTGACAAATGTATATATACATATATTTATTTATTTTATCAAAAAAAATTATTATATAGAACCAAAAAATTAATTGAAGATTATACAGAAGAAGTTGTAACTCAATTAGAATATATTGGGGAAAATAACTTTGCTGAATTACCTAATTATTCAAAAATCGAATTTTTTCACGATACAAAACAAAGTTTTGGTAATACAGCTCTAGTACTTTATGGTGGAGCCACATTTGGTATGTGATTGTGGTGAAAATCGAATCATCATGTAAAGAATAATATTTATTTATTTTGATTAATTGATTGATAATAATATTTATTACTTGATTAGGTTTATGTCATCTTGGAGTTGTGAAAGCTTTAAATGAAAAAGGTTTATTGCCTAGAATTATTAGCGGTACAACTGTAGGTGCATTGATTGCTGCTTTAGTTTGTATTAGAACCGATGATGAATTACCAGTAAGTTTATGCTCTAAAAATAATTAAAATTATTATTACAATCATTATTATGCTAATAAGCCTATCACTATTTGGTTATCACTAGAGTATTTTTAAAGAGGGAGGTGTTGATTTAGGCGCCTTTAGTAAACTTGGTAGTAAAGGAAATATCCGTAGAAAAATTTCCAGGTTTTTAAAACATGGTAACTAAAAGAATAAGCTCTAATTTGTTAATAATATTAATAAGAATAAATAAATCATTAAAATATATCGCGCTATTATTAATATTATTCATTTAATTTATTAGGACATCTTATGGATATTAAAGTTGTGGTAGAATGTGTTAGAAGTAATGTTGGAGATTTAACTTTTGAAGTTAGTTTATTAAATGAAGAAATAATGAATAAATATAAATCGATTTAATTATTTTTAATAATAAAATAATAACTAATTTATCACTATTTTTTCTTTAAATTTTTTTAGGAAGCATTTGCTAGAACAAAAAGAATATTAAATATTACAGTGTCTTCTACCAGAAAATTTGAAGTGCCTCAATTATTGAATTATTTAACAGCTCCTAATGTTGTAAGTGTGAAACCAATAATTATTTACAATTTATAATTTATCGGCAATAATATTATTATCATGATGATCATGATTATGACCAGTGGTTATTAATTCTTATTTGTAAATTTAGCTAATATGGAGCGCTGCATGTGCATCGGTTGCAATGATGGGGTTATATGATAGTGTTGATTTATTAGCTAAAGATAAAAACGGTAACATTGTGCATTGGGCCCCATCAGGTGAATGTGATAACATTAATTTTAATAATAATGATAGCAATAATAGATTATATTAATTAACAATAATATTTATTAAATAATTTAGAAATTAAATGGAAAAAATGGACTGACGCGGTTCCGACGGAAAGGTTTAAAAGCAAAAAATACTATTTTATTTTTCTATCATTTTCTTCAACATTTTGTTATTATTATTTATAATTCTAATCAATTAACTTTTCTAAATTTAATAGTGAATCACCATTGACTAGGATAACTGAATTATTTAATGTCAACCATTTCATAGTATCGCAAGCAAATCCTTACATTGTACCATTTTTAACAAGAGAACAAACCATTAAATATAGTTTATTAGGTAAAATTGGTTATTTTATCTCAACAGAATTTAGACATAGATTATATCAGGTAAATTATTAATCATTAAATTCAAGAACTACGATAAAATATGAATAATAATAATTATGATAATTAAAAATATCAATAATTAACTAAAATTAAAAATTTTTAGTTGGAACAAATGAAACTTTTACCTAAAATGTTTAGGGAAATGGTCGATGAAAAGGTTTCAGGAAATGTTACAATTGTTCCTTCTATTTCCTTTGATGTAAGTGCATACAACAATGATATAATGATATGTAAATATGTTCTTGATTTTTTGTTACTTTTTATTAAACTTTCTATCTTTAGGATTTTAAAAAATTATTTTCAAATCCATCTCATTCTTCCTTGGATTCTTGGATATTGAAAGGTGAACAATCCACTTGGCCGCTACTAGCTCTAATAAAGAATCGTTGTATCATAGAATTGGCTCTTGATAGAGGTAATAATATAAACGATGATTATTTAATTATGATCATTCCATAATATTTCTATTTCTATTTTAATATTAATAATATTAATACTTTATATTTTAATAGTTTATTTGAAATTAAAATCAGCCCCAAGTGAACGTAATTATTCAGTTTATCCTAATTCCAATAAAAAAATCAATAGAAAACGTACAAAATCTGTTCATTAAAATCATTATTATACGGATAATCGTAATATTTATTCAAATAACAATAACAACGATTTGCATTAATTATTCTATCTTAATGTATTGAAAAATTTTCTCTATCTGTTGTATAGCATTTATTTATTAAATAATCTGTCAACTATATCTTGCAATAAACATGAGATTATGTAATTAAAGACTCGTGAAAATCTTTTGTTTTATTTAAATATATGTTGTTCATTATTTTCAATATCATATATGAACATCAACCAGGCTACTACTACTCCTCTAAAGAAAAAATCAAAAGCTTTTATGTATTGTTGTTCATGAAAATGAATTTGCAATTCACGTACGTGACAATTAAATTAGCCAATCAAAAAGAATTTCACTCATTTTAATAGATTTACAACACTTGTAAAAGAATGGCTAAATTACCTAGAGCCTGCTACTAAAAATACGCAACTAGCCAGTAACAAAATTCATATTAATGTGTACAAAAACATGCATTTTCCATTTAAAAACTACAAGATGAAGGCCGTAAAATTCTCGTCCTATGAATTTTTTCAAATATAAAATTTTTTTTTCCTTTTTAAGAATAATTGTTGGAAATTTTAAATTGTGAAACTTGAGAAAAAATGGTAATTGATCCTTGTGATTCTTCATATCCTCATCTTCCATAGTTAATTATATCATATGTTAATATGAATCGGTTTTTTTTTTGTAGGCGCGTAATGAAGAAAAGGCTCAGTAAATATATTTATATAATCTTGTATTATGTTAATCGAATTTTTTTTTACAAAAAGACCCATTGATTTTTTCTCCCCCCTAGGTCTATGCTCTATCGTTTTCGTGAAGCACAAGCAGTTCAACTTGGATTAGTTAAACCGAAAGAGCGTAGACCTTATTTGGCATCGGATTGCAATAATTTAAAAGATGCAGAAAAATGGCGACAACAAATAATCAGAGAAATTTCAAGGAAAGTGTCAAAAATTCAAGATGGCAAGTTATTTTTTTTTTATAATAAAGCGGGTTTTTTTGTAACGGTGATTATTATTAAGTTAATATCAGATTGATCTGATTATTCCTTTAATAAATAATAATTAATAAATTTAAATAATAAATAGCTGGTTTGTCTGATTATCAAATACGTGATCTTAATGATGAAATTAATAAGTTAATGAGAGAAAAAGGTCATTGGGAAGATCAAATAAAGAAGCTTGGTGGACCAGATTATAGGGTTGTGATTTTAATTTTTGTTTTAATAATGACGGTATTAGTTTTTTTTTTATAATTAATGTCTTTAATTCATATTTTTGATTGATTATATTAGAAAGTAGGACCAAAAATGTTAGATCATGAAGGAAAAGAAGTGCCTGGGAATAGAGGTTACAAGTATGTTGTTTGATCGACCAATTAATTTATAAGTAGAGATAGAAATACAAATATTTACAAATATTTTTATATGTAATTATAAAGATATTTTGGTCGGGCGAAAGATTTACCAGGAGTGAGAGAATTATTTGAACAAGATGGTAAGTTATAGATTATGATTAATTTAGTTCTAAAAAAGATCAGGATTCATTAAATAATAAATTTTATTTTTGTTGTATAGCTCCCACACCATCAAAACGCACACGATTTGATTTATATAAAAATGTAGATGCAGATTATTACGGATATAGAGACGAGGAGGATGAGACGTTATTAGAATATGAACGAGAAAAAGAAGAAAATCGTATATGTCGATTTAACCGAGTTTTTTTTTCTTTTTTAATTCTTTATTTTTATTAAAGTTTTCTAATCTATATTTTTAATTTATATTTTAGTCATTAAAGAAATATTACAAAATCAAGATAACACTGCTCAAAAAAATAAAGATATAAGTTCATCAGTAGAAGGAATAATGGATGTGGATGATTTTTCAGAGAAGTACGTGTCACATGTAGCAGTACCATCTCAAAAAGACATTGAAGAATATCTGGTACAGAGAAGGAAACGTCAAATACTTGATCGTTATGTGCCAGATGACGACATTGGTGTTTAAGGGTTTTAAAAAAAAATTTTAGAATATATGAAAAATAAAAAAATTACTTTTTAAACATACAAGTCAATTTTCAAAATTTATATAGAAAGCATTTACATTGACAATAAAAGCTTTTTTCGAAATATTTACCATCATAACGGTAATAGTTTAATTGCTGTGCCATATGTCCAAAATTCCATCATTTTTAATTGAATTTCGTCCAAAATAGAAAACATCCGTTTCGCACTATGTTATAATTGGAAAACCCCATCAATTAGTCAACTAATATATGTCATCGTCAAAAAAACATCAAATGACTTTTGGTAATAGGTGGAACTGTTGTACGTGAAAATGAAATTATGTGAATTCGCAATTCACATATGTGAAATTCAAATTTACATGTGTGAAATTCAAATTAGCCAATCAGAATTTCACCCCACTCCATAATATTTCAATTTCACATAATTTCAATTTCACATACAACAGAACCAAAAATATATTCAAATGTCGAGTGACAATAATTATGAATACCGTATTCTCTCGAATATAAGCAACACCATTTTAACGCGTTTTAATCTACAAAACTGTAGTAATAAACTTCACCTAATGCGGACATTTTCCGATAGGCTTTATATAACACTAGACTAGACAAATTCCGACGGAAAATTCGCTAAATTAAAACTCATTAAATTATCATCGGTTAAATTTCCCCAGATAAGTGTATGCATAACATGAAGATATAACAATTAATGTATTAGTATATACTGGCCTTTTTAACCATATCTCTAGATAATTATAAATATGATAATGTAATCCTAATGACCCGCAGTGGAGAATTGTCTAAAACAATTTTATGGCTAGGCTCATCGATAGAAAATTCTAGTAGAGAAGACGGAGCAAATTTTATTCAAAGATTTCAAAATCAATCCCGGTGATTTATTTTTAGTTGGTATTGACAGAAACAATAATCTTGATAATATTGAACTTGCATATAATGATCCTAAAGACGCTATCAAAAATTTCATTATTAATGGGTTAAATCATGTTAATGCTATTCTTGGACAAAGAAATTTTATTGATATTAATGATTTTGAATTATAAATCCAAGAAATATATGACATTGAAATATACTTTGAAGAAGAAAAGCAAGTTTTAATAAATTTGAAAAAAGATGAACAGATTCATATTGAGTATTTTTATATATAAATATAATGCAAGACTTTCTCATGTTGAAAGTTGATCAGATTCATAATCTCAATATGGTCTTCATCTACCAAGTAAACCGCCATTTTATTTTGGTCATGGTGAGGGATAATAATTTATCACAAGAGTCTATTCCAACACTAGATGTAAAGCTCCTAACGGGTCGGGTTCAGGTTGGTCTCGGGCCTGTATTACTAAGAAAGACATTTCTATTAATACTAATCTCAAAAAGATTTTATTTTGTGAATGTCAACAATATATCATTTTATTTGTTAATGCATGCCCACTAAAAACTTTATGATTATTTTATTATAAATTGTTAAGAAAATAATATATAAAAATAAATTTAATATTATTCATTCTCATCTTCAAACACATGCACATTCTAATTGTTTCAGGCTTCAAGCTACATCACCTTTGTGAGGTCAAGTCAGTACCACCAGAAAATATACATTCAACTTGTACAGTAGAACCTTTTTAAATAAAATTAAATAAATAAAAATTAAATTTGTAGAATAATTAATAATGTAAAAAATTACCTGGGATTGATAAATAATCATTTGCCATTTTTGAAAGATTAGGATATTCTGATTCATGAAGCTATAAAAGGTTGAAAATTTATAACTCTAAAATGTTAATAATGTGTTTAAATTTTTCCAGGATTTTATTAAACACCTTCCAAAATAATAAAATATCTATATCCAAATTTGCTGATGAATTATTCAGGTATGTATCAAGTTCATCAGCATGTACAAATTTACGTTTTTTCAACATGTGGTTTGCAAGAGGACTTGAGGTTGATTGGTAGCAATTTGTTGCTGAGTTTCTTTGTATTTTTCTCTCCATAAATTTGTAATTTGTATTGATATAATAATCCTCAAAACCATTATCATTATAATATTCCATTTTAAGTCTTGGATCTATAACTGTTTTGTAATTTAAAAATAATTATTACTTAAATAAAAAATCAAAGTGAAATAATTATTTACATACTTGTTACAATAACATATACTAGCCCATCCAATGTTGGATAATACTTTTGAATTTTATCTTTTGCTCTATTAGCAGCAGTTACAATATCATTAAGATGTTGTTTTTCATCAAGAAAGTCTTCAATATTATCAATTAAGTAATTATAAACAGGAACAGAAGAGCCAAGTGTAGGATATGATGATTTACTCATTTCAAGTGTTGCCTTTTGAAAACACTAAAAAAATAATAATAAAATAGGTCAGATGTATATGCAACATCAAGATATCTTTTTAATTTAATATTATAACCTAATTTATTATAATTTGATTCATGACAAATAAAAATGTCAATTAATGTTAAAAATATAAACCTCCAATAAATTTTTTAATCTCTTCAATTTTTTTCCAATCAATATCTGATATGACATATTTACTAAGTTCTCTGTCAGCAGATGCCATGTTATGTAATGCCTAATAAAAAAATCATTAATTGCTGATTCGCGAATGAACCAGAGAAATGATTGACATTTTAATATAAAATTTTGGTGTTAATTGTTATGAAAATTCCCAAATCTCACTGTCCTCACACATTAACTCTCATGTCTACACAAAAAGTATAAAGAACAACCTTAGAATTCTTTCAAGATCGTTGAATACTACTTTAAAATTCTTTTTCAGTTATTTTATTGACTTGACTTATAACAACATGTGGTTCATTTGGTAAAATAAAAGTTTTTTGTTGATAAACCGATAAAAAAAAATGTATAGCTCTAGTCAGAATACTTGATAGCGTTGGCTGAAAATTCCAAATTTTTATATGTTATGAACTTCTTGAAATCTCAGCTTCCTACGTATATATAAAAGTTTTCAAGAAACATTCCAAGCCCTTTAATATTTTCATACATAAAAAGAATAAAGTTTGTAATACCAAAACATCATGATTTATTATTTGTTAAACATTGTCAACTGACGTTTAATTGCTGAATTCGATGTTTTTATTGATTGATAGTATTAATATTAGTATATTAATAATAAAATCGGGTCGAGAATTTTATTATTGTGGTTTGCAAACCTCTAACAATAACAGAATAAGAATAATGTATATAGTACAAACCCCATTTTGAAAAAAATTATGGGTAACACGGATCTGAGAACGAACTTGGAATAAGAATTATTTTTTCTTTCTGCAGATCATCAAATTATTAATTATCCCACTAATATTAATGTATACTAATTTTCTATTACGCTTAAATAAAATTTTTTATATAAAAATCTGAAATTTTTTTCCCAATTTAAAATTTTTAAAAAACGATTAATTAAAAAAAAAACTATTTAAAAACAACTAATCAGTATAAATAATAATCAATGAATCAATATCATAATAATAACAATAATTATAATAATCAAAATCCTAATCTTGATAACCGTACTAATAACAGTTATTCTGCTCCTCCTTCTAATGAACAATCAAACATTATTCCTCAATACACTTCTGTCAATAGTAATTTGATTGACGGTAATCTAGTAGACATTGTCAACAACAATAATTATTTAGATGACCATGTAACTAGTCCCATAGTTGATACTCATATCCGTCTGACCAACCATCATAGCTCAGCTATTAATAATTTTATTGGTCAAAATACTCAGCATCAAAATTCTGTCGACAGTAATCTCTTTGGACAGAATCATCAATTCAATCCTCGTCAAAATGCTGTCGCCGATAATAATTTCTTTGGAGACAATAATAATAATTTGGATGCGCAGAACAATAATTACAATAACTTCTTTGGCCAGAATCATCAACTCAATCCTCATCAAAATTCTGTTGCTGATAATAATTTCTTTGGAGACAATAATAATAATTTGGATGCGCAGGACAATAATTACAATAATTTCTTTGGCCAGAATCATCAATTCAATCTTCATCAAAACTTTGTTGTTGGTGATGGAGACAATAATAATAACTTGGATACACAAACAAGAATTCTTATAGCAGTTCAGCTTCAAAATATCGTTAATCAATTGTTAAATCGTTAAATAACAATTACAAAATAAGAGATTATTTAATCATTTGTATTCTTTATTCAATTTATAATATAACGCAAATAAAAGTCTCTTTTTAAAATTCGTAATTTTGTGTGATTGAAAAAGGGTTGTATATTTGATTGCGCTAATGTTTGTTTGAACTAGTGATCACAATCATCATATTCATGAATATTTTGATAAGTGTAACCCCCTTAATGAATATTCATGAATATGATGATTGTTTGAATCCCAAAATCCAGTACGGTATGATCATAACGTTATGAATACTTGGGGCGCGGAAAATAGAAACAGCCCTAACTACCAAAATTGCGATTTTGAGTTAATGACATTTTTATATGTAATTCGCCACTGGAATTAATTTTAGCTTAGAAACAATACCCACTTTACTTAGTAAAATTTTGAGATATTTTCTGTTAAAGTTTTTAAAAACAATAGTAAATTACTTGAAATGTAGATCTTTTTTTCCGATTTTCTCAAAATCGAGATTTTGCAGTTAGGGCTGTTTCTATTTTCCGCGCCCCACTTTATACGAGCAAAAACCCATTGGTTTTGAGGCTGGCCATTGGCTTGACGGGCCATCTAATAGTAAAATAGTTTTTTTTAGCGGAGTAAATAAATTTTTTGGGGTTAATTATCATTCTATTGACCAGTTCACGCATCATGATGTTTAATATGTTTAACGTCGAGACACAATAAGATATAAGGTTTGAAAAAAAGGGTCCAAAAAATCAAATCGGCTTATATGTACACACAAATCTAAAAATGAGTTATTAAATTTTTGCTTCGCGATCAGTACAAGAAATTTGGTTGTCTATATGTATGCGCAAATTTTGAGCAAGTCCTTGATAAATTGAGTCGCTAATTATATGAATTATTATTATGTCTTGCGTTAATGAGTCACTTATTTGCATCATGCGTGGCACCAATCGCATCACATTCCTTTTAATTTTGACAGCATGTATAATTTAAGGAACAAATCTCTTGTAGTTTCCTTCGTTCTTTTCAATGAGAGCACTTGCTCCTTCATCATGAAATTTATAAGAGACCAATTGATTTCTTTTCTTAAACTTTAGGATCCATCCATTTGAAAAATGGAAATCTTCTTCTTCTCTTTAATAATCTGTTCATTCAATACAATAGCTGATGCTGATACTTGTTCTACCCAACGATTTAAAGCTTGATCAGGCAATGGAAATTTAGGATTTTTATTTCGAAATTTACTTTTAGAAATAGAATTAGTATCATTTACTACCTTTTTTTAATGGAATATCCTATATACAGTAAGGTTCTTTTTTTGAAATATACAGTACCCTACCAAAAATGGAAATCTATTCTATAAAAAAGGAAATGGCTCAAATTTTTGTAACATCCTCGTGACAGTTATTTGTATGTGACGATTAAACTTGTGAGGCTTGGGGTGGTAGGAGTTATGGAATGCTTACCAACTCCAAAAATAAATTCTTATTTGTCACGTAGGTTCTGTATATTTCATAAAAAGAACCTTTCTGTATATAGGATGACCCTTTTTTAATATTTTAACAATTTTTGAGCAACCAATGCCAAGACCTGAATACTTGTTAGATAATAATAATAAAATTGTTACATCGTCGAATTTCATGTCATGTGGTGTATAGTAATAGTGTTGGTTTCCAAAACTATAGAGTTTCGCAACTGTGCAAAAGTCAAAAGAATTTAGTCTCAAGTTGAAACTAGTTTTGACACATAATAATAAGTTTTAATTTCAGTTTTGACTTTCGTAACTTCAAACACTACAAAAAAAATTGATATTGAAAATGCTCTTAAAACATACTTAAAATGTACACGATTTGTCTTAAAACATACTTCAAGTATGTTTTATGCAACCTTTAGGTATATTTCAAGTACAGTCAGTATATTCTAAGTATGTTGAAAAGACATCTTTGTAAATGACTAGGCTTTCAGCAAACTTTCAATTGTTAGAATCCAGGAACCTAGTTAGCATGCTTTTTTTTTTGATGTATTCATTTAATCTCAGATATTTGAAATGTTACGATTGCCAGGTGATAAACGTGAATATCCGCAATTTATACCTTCTCTTTTTTCAAAATGGCTTCTTAAAGTTTCGTTTTTACATGGTCTTAGTGTTGTTATTACTTGGGTGGATAATGCTATTTATTTATTTTTATCTGTTCGATGCAAATAAAAAGTAGAAAATTAAAGGTCACCCCATAGATCACATAAAATTATTGCCTTCCTAAAGAATGATATTCAGCAAAATATACAATTTTATATTCTCTTCGTGCTCGTAGTACAACACAACATCATTGCTTAATTCTATTTCTGCTGTTTGTTTTGTATTAGCAGCTGTTCTTGATTAATAACATTTTTTTTTTATTATGTTTCTTTACAATATTTGTTGCGCTTACGATTTGGATTCTCATTCCAAATATTTTCTTTTACCCTCATAATTTCTAACCGCTAGTATCAGCAGTTTTATCTTTGCGAATGGAATTTACAATAATTAATTTGCTATATAATTAAATCTTCCTTCAAAGCCAATAATAATTATTTGGGAAGGATTTCGTGTCAAGCCCATCACATTGAGGACTTTTTTGATCACAAACAAAAATTAAGATAATTCAGTTAAAGCATTAATTATACGTGCATATAAAGTTTATTTTATTTGAAATTCACAGGAAATAATATATATCAAGTTAAAGAGTTAAGCAGATGAAATGACAATAGACGATATTTGATTGTAGATAGATCTTTCGAGTTCAATTAAGGTGGTGGATTAAAAAATATATTAATAGCACCAAAGGAGGTGCCGGAGTCGCATTGGATTTGTTGAAAAAATGTTGTACGTGAAAAATGAAATTATGTGAATTCGCAATTCACATATGTGAAATTCAAATTAGCCAATCAGAATTTCACATCGCTCCATAATATTTCCATTTCACATACAACAAAACAAATAAAGACAAGCCATCTACAAGGATGAAGAACCCGCCATTTTTTTTTTGCATAAGTTTCTTGGGAAAAAACATCATCATATAGAAAATTAATCCAAAATTAATCTCTAGTCTGGGATTTTGGTGAGAAGACCATTTATAAATATTTTGTTTATAAGGTGAATGTCAAAAGGATAACCGTAGTTTCAAGGAAGAATAAAGCTGGTGTGATGATTTTTTGGTTCGCCCATTTTAGCTTTATAATGCAAAGCATCAAATATCATCGTGAAGAGGAAACTGAAACGATAATAAAAGTCAAGTTTTGGATGAAATATCGTCTTTTGTTATCAAAAGTTTATTTATTTACTACTGTATGTTCTTTATTAGAAGTTTGTTGCACATTTGAGTAACAAGAAATGAAACACACCCCATACATTAATATTTTATTCTAAATTTATTATGATATTAAAATTAATATTTACAAATTAATATTATATTATTGATTATATTAAATTATTATTGGTTATTATATATTAAATTATTATTGATTATTATATATTAAATTATTATATATTATACTATTATTGATATTATATATTATATTATATTAAATACTAAAAAAAATACTAATTACTAAATATTATTTTCATCTCAAACACTCAAATGTTTCTTAAATTTACCAATTACACCTTTTCTTTTTTCAAGTCCAATGGTAGTCCAGCCACCACCATAATCATGACCAGGAAACACAACGACTCGATCATCTAATCTAGCCAACCTTTCTCTCAAAGTTTTTTTCATCTCTCGTTGATCACCACCGGGCAAATCAACCCTTCCACTACATCCACACATAATAACATCACCTGTGAACAATCTTGTCTCATTCACCAACACAGATTGACTTCCCTCGGTATGGCCTGGAGTATGCAGGAATTTTAACAGTGTCGATTTACCTAATCGTAGGATGTATTGATTTGTGGTGGTGATTATACGATGTTGGAATTCAATCAAGTTGGAATTTGATTTTAAAATGTATGGAAGATCTAGTGGATTGATGTAACATGGTAAAGTTGGTATTTGCTTCATTAGATTATAAAGACCCGAAACTTTTATTGGCAGTTGATCATATGGTGCTGGTGGTGAGCCTATAAAAAAAAATATTTTTATAAGAATACTGAAAATATAGAGAAAAAAAATTTTTTTTTTGTTATTATAAAATTGATCGATTTACCTCCAACATGATCAAAATGATAATGAGTCACAATTGCACCAACCAATTCTAAATTTTTCTTTTTAATATATTTCAAAATTCCATCAACGTCCCAACACTAACAAAAATTGGAATAAAAATTTTTTATATAGTGAGTCAGAAATATTAATCATAATAAATAAATATATATATACAAACATCAATACATATGCTATATATTCTATATAATCATTTATATACTTACAGCATCAACTACAATGCATTTTTTAGTTTCAATGTCTACAATTAAATGAATAAGATTTTTCATGTCTATAGCAAAATCGTGAATTCTTTTTTGTATTGGACTTGTAATTGAGTTTTTTGTTAGACAAATGTCTCTACCAGGTACAAGCGTATATATTTCTAATCCTGATTTAATTAATTAATGTAATTGTAAATATACATGTTGGTTGGTATTAACTCAAGCAATATTAGCGTATTTTAGTAAGTATTTACCCATTGAAACATTGTCCTTTAATATTAATGCCTTTGCGATTCTTAAAGATATTTGATGGTTTTGTGGATCCTAAATAATATTTAATATTAATTTATGATATTACCGATTGAAAATCATAAATATAGATTATTCACTTGCAAATATAACGGACCTTTTTTTTCGCAATATAATAATTTTCTAATGCTTCATCATATTTTTCAAGTTGCACAAGTGCTTCTGCCTTTCTAAAATATCCCTATAAATATATAATTTACAAATATAAATCACAACTGCTAATGATTTACACGCTATAATGTCATCAAATATCATACCTTTGGCCAATCAGGTCTGATTTGGATAACTTGGTTGGCGTCAT